TATATATATATATATATAACGAACAAATTTTTTATCAAACATTATAAATTCAATGCAAGTTGTGTCCGCTACGTTCTTTAAGCAAACAGGTCAACCACTAACAAGTTTATTGAGAACTATTTAGTATTTATAAAAGTGTTGAGCATGGACAAATTTTTATTAGATTGCTTTTACTTGAATTATATAAATAATAAATAAACAATATTTTTATAACCTTCTTATATTAAATTGTTGAATTCTGATAAATCTGTGAATCACATATCAAGAGTTTGATGGTAAGAAAAGAAAGAGAAAGAGAGAGACAAAGAGATAAGTGCATGTTCATAAAGAGTAAGACGTATTTTCTATTTCATAAAACGATCCCCTATTAATGGGGAGGGAATACAACATGTGAAATTAAATATTTGTCTCTGCTTTGATGTGACATTATATAATATTTTAAGTATTTTGCATGAATAGTTTTATGACTCGACTACATTCTTGCTAGGTCGATTGAGCTCGATAGCCTTTGGTTTGGTGTGGCCTGCTCGTTCAGCTATGTTGAGTTGAGATTATTGGTTAGCCTTCGATTAACTTCAGATCGGCATGACTGGCTCAATTGGCTAGACTTTGCTGATAGACTAATTTGGATCTCTGGAGAGGAGTCATTGTCGGCTAAGTGATGTTAGGTTATTGGGCTAAGGGTGAAACACCGTAAGCCAATAGGTAGCTCACTCCCCGCGTGGAAAGTTGGAGGGATGATTTAGATTTCTTGTGATATGGTTATTTCTAGGTCCTTGATAACGAGCGTCTGAGACTTTCATGAAATGATTGATGAAACTTTTGTCTAGTATATTGAAAAGGTTGATTTTCGACCTCGATATGCTTTCATATGGTGGTTGGCTTGTATGCCTATCAATTGTATCTTGTATGATGGGTTCAAGCTCGGACCATTTGGAAGCCATTAGTCTTGATGGCCCTAGTTTAGATGGTTGAATCTGGTTGGCTTTGGCTGTGGTTCAAACTGCTACATCTGGTTATATAAGTGACTCCTGGTCTCTGTTGGCAAACCATCCTTAGTTACATTTTGTTGACTTTTGAACTGTTGGATTTCCCTCAATATTTGTGTTGATGCATTCATAATGAAAATATTTTAGCTCATTGATTCTCGTATTTCTTAAAAGCGAGAGTTGCAATAAAAAAAAGTTCTAAATGGAAAAAAAAAAGATATCATTTATGTCATAGTCAAAATTATAATAATTAATCTTCATGGAATTTCGTGCCTGTGGTTTTTATAAATATGACATGTACGACTCCTTTGATATTTTATATTTGTTATGTGTCTTTTTGCATGAGTAGCTCGACTTTCAAATGTCTTTATGGAGAAAGTTCGAAACCCTTTAGGCCCGGTTAGGGAAATGATGATTGTTACCTTTGGAAGGGCAGTAGTGGTGCTGCCTCGAAGGTTAGAAGAGACAAATGAAGTTTGTTGTCAAGAAGTAGAAGATAGACAAGTCGATGGATCAGGTGGGGTCTTCTGACTCTCTTCTTGGTTCTTGGCCGAGTAAGGGCCAAGCATGTGATGGAGATAGTATGGGCGGCTCGGGAGCTGATTCATCCTCTTGTGGTGGCACGGGACTTAATGGTTGAGCAAATCATGCAAGAAGTTGTTGGTGCTTTGTTGTTTGCCTAAGCTCGAAGAACTATGAATGCTTTTCTGTCACTTGGTGAAAATAATATGTCGGTTGGATGTATAAAGCTAAGTCAGCTCCTTTGTATAGGGATATATAGTATTGTTGATTTGGTTCAAATTTATTTTTTTTAATTAAATTGAATTGTGGTGCAACCAAGCTGATACTGGCTTATAACTTGCCTTTGTAAGATGCTGGCAAGGGATCCGGCCCGACACTAGTTTTGGCAGCCCCGACAACGGCTAGGAGCGAGAAAGGAGTGGTCGACCGCCCGACCAGTCGCCGTGAGCTCGACAAGGAAGCGACTAATGAGCGACGAATATCTCTTGAATTATTGGCTTGCCGCTTGGACGAGATCGAACGCCCTTCGCCATGAATCACCTGTAAGTTCTTCTCCTCGGAATTGTTTCCGAGTGTAACTCATATATCTATTTCGTATGCTATGATTTGAAATTGGATGTTGTTGGATCATGATTCTAAACATCTGTTACCAATATCCAAATCATGTCCAACCAATACCCAACTCTTTGATGGTATATTTTGACTTAAAAAAACAATCAAATATGATATTTTTGCTCAAAATTCTTTTTTAATGCCACAACAAAAAAAAAAAAACCTATAAATACACGCATCACTTTTAAAACATAATTAATGATAAAATACATACAAATCACTTCAATAATTGAAAAGTAGGAGGCAAGCCTAACCCTCTTCATCTCCATTAATAATAGCTACTTTAAGCCATTTTAAATATTATTTAAATTTTTTGTAGTGCACTCACCATGCTAAAAAATTCTTAAAATTTTAATGATTCATGCTGGCATTCAATTCATAAAACATCATCATTATTGGACAAATTGAAAGTTAGTTATAATCATCACCATCATCATCATCATTATTTTTCTCGTTGCTATAAAATATATTTACATATTTAACAATAAAATTTTTACATTTTCATGCACGACACTCAACCAGTTAAATCTCAAATAAAAAACCCACTTTTATTTATATATTAGATATTTAAATACATAAGAATAGTGGATATATGTGTACAATTTTCATGATATAATCGAACATAAGAAATGTGTTAGCACGAATATCGAGGAAATCCAATGATCCATGAGAGAGGAAGCATGGCGAAGAAAGGTTTGACGACAAAAGAATAAGAGATTCAGTTATTCTATTAGATGTAGCCATGTAAGTCAAACTTGAAAATTGTCTGAGTTAGGATAATAACAAAAAGAACGACCAAATGATCATAATCCGAATCAATTAGAATAAACTAAAGACATACAAGCATCCAAACTAATTATTGCACGAATGTGAAACGAAGACATCGACCTACAGTCTAGTAGATTTTACCACGAGGAAACATGCACACCCGAGACTCTTCATCATAGAAAAAAAATTAGTTATACAAGAGAGCCTTTTAATCATTCTAATGGATTCCCTCGTCAAGTAACTTAGCTATCGATCATACAAGATCAATCAATCGACAAAGCCTGGCTAATCGAGTCACTCATGCCAAATAGAAGTTAATCAAGCTCAGCCGGCCGGTAACACCAACTATACCTAGCCTACAAAATCAACATCACAAAGTCGAAGTCATACAAGTCCAACCGACGAATTAGAGGGCAAACGAGCAATTAACTAATATATAAAATGCCTAGAATATTTTGTGCAGCTCCTATTATAGAGGCCAAAATATAATGTCACTACACTGTACAATCTTTCGTATAAATATACAGTTTATATTATGACAAATGACTTAACAGATAATACATTTTACATTATTATTGATCACTCCATTCTTTCCCTTTTTTTCTTAGACTTTATTTATTAGGAGCCTAGTTCTCGGACAAATCAGGATTGAACAACAAACTTGTTGCGGGTCACAGCAGGTCAATCCCACAAGATAATCTGTCGTGTTCGGGTCGTGTCGATATTGCATGATGGCTAAGGAATTCGGCGGGAAACGATAGAGCTGCTAGGGTTTTTTTTTTGTTGTATCGGGGACTTGCGCACGTTGTTCTTCCTTCGATCGCTTCGAGTGGAGTTTCAGTCGGGTCTCAAGCCATCAGACCCTAGAAATCGGCAGAGTTAACTCACTTCTGTCTTCAAAATGCTGTGGGTTGACAAGTACAGGCCTAGGATTCTCGAGAAGATGATAGTCCATAAAGAAATTGCGCAAAACCTCAAGAAATTGGTGAGATTTCGCGATTCCTCGTTGTTCTCGATTAAAATATGGTTTATTGCATCTTGATGAGATGTGCGTATTTTGTCTTATTTGTTTTTTTGGTTTCCTTCTTGGCGGGCTTTGATTAGGTTGCGGAGCAGGATTGCCCGCATCTTTTGTTCTACGGGCCACCTGGATCGGGGAAGAAGACTATGGTAATGGCTCTACTCAAGGAAATATTTGGTGCTTCGGCTGAGAAGGTATCCCAAATCCTAATTCTGTTTTTTTAATTCGTGTTCACTTAATTTATTCACTTATTAAAATTTATATTTCAGGTGAAGTTAGAGCAGAAGGCATGGAAGATTGATGTAAGACTCAGAAAATCATGTGCAAGCACTGTTTATTATTATTCCACGCTTTCATTCTTATTATTATCAATCGAGACAATCATGAAGTATTGTGGTTAACTTTGCCACAGACGCAAACATTTTTGCTTGATGTCTTATATATTCATGCTTGATACGAATGACAATTAATTGTGATTTGTACCCATCCAGAGTCCTACCACAGTGTAGTTCGATTAAATATTTACGTTTGCATTTTATCATTTTACTATATGAAGGATTTTGAACAATGTCCTATGCATGGTTATCCTTATGAGCCTGAAATTGTTCAACCGTGATTTATTTTTAACGTTCATGTTTAATTGTCTCTAAATAGCTTGAAGGACTAGAAATTGAAGCTAACGTGATGTGAAACTGAAATCAGTTTGAAGGATGAGAAAATTTAAAAGATCGCATGGGAAATGTGATGGAAATCTCATTAGTAGGCTCAAATGGTCGGCCAATTTGCACAAGTTTAGGTGGAGAATCAATTGGGGCACAAATTAGATCGAGGATTTGTCTTAGGAATTGTTAGAGTTCTACCCTGTTCACGGACAATTTTGTATTTGAATCTTTCAAGGCTAGAGTTTCAATCATCAAATTAAACAAAACATAGATTTTTGGAAGTGGCTCAACATTAGTTGCAATGAAGAATTAATGTTCAAATAGTACAACTTGATGCGAGATTCAATTTTTTTATGGTCCAAACCATAACACCTATAACATTTAGGAGAAATGTCATAGTCCATTAATATGCATTTAGTGTATTGAGCTAAAAGATATGACATTCATGTGCCTGGAAATGAACAAAACAAATACAACCTAATGAATGGAAATCATTATTGTTTATATGCTTCTAAAAGAAATGATAAAAATGACAATCAATTTCCAAGATTTTAGAGGCTGTCTATTAATAAAGTTGATTGCATTGCTTAATGTTCTGACTCAGAATTAAAATGGAATTGAAGATTCTGATAATGTTTCAACATCTAAGAGACAACTTTTATGTGTAGAAACACAATTTTCTTGAGTTGTATAATGATGATTTTTGAGAAATAATTATCTTATTTTGAAAAATATCATGCAATTCAAGTGACATATTTACCCCTAAAATTGGATCTCAATATTTTGCTGTGAGATGAAATTTGTGTCTCAATATAGGCAATAAAGTTTCTAAAGATAGTGAATACGTCATATTTTTATGAAGAAAATGAATTTATGTTTTTTTTTTGGGTTATAGTCACTATTGAAAGTTACAATATATATATATATATATATTATAAGAGATAGAGAAAGAAAACAAATAATATATATATATATATAATTTACATGCGAAATTACATGAGTGATGGCCCATACATTACTATGAACACAACTATAATGTGATAGAAAAGAAATAATCTGACACTTATTTTGCGTATTTAATAATCAGATGAAATAGGTGAAGGAATTTTTTTTTTCAATAAATCAAAATTCATTAAGTGAGATAAAATAATGAAGTTTTGATGACTTACCTTTTGTACTAGAGTTCATTATTATTTTGATTTATTACAGTACATGATAGTGAAAGCACTTTAGAGATTGAAAAAATGCAAGGGAAACTGATACCAGAGGAGAAAGCCCAAACCATCAAAGAAACATAACTTTTTATTAATATAGAAATAGGGTTACAACTTGACACCAATGGAAAGGGAACACACAATAACAAACCAATCTTCAGCTAAGGCCAATGAAAAGATCCATGGGCGGAGTGGCGCCGACAATGGGGTGAAGGTATGGGGAAGGGGATGGTTGTTGCAAGGTCGGTTAAGAAGGGGTTTGGTGGTGATTTATGAGGCCGATAGGTGGACTTTTGCTGCAGGAAAGTGGCTGGACAGCCGAATCTGCTGCAATGTGGATTAAGAAGGGGTTTGGTGGTGATTTATGAGGCCGATAGGTGGACTTTTGCGAGGCCGATAGGTGGCCTTTTGCTGCAGGAAAGTGGCTGGACAGCCGAATCTGCTGCAATGTGGATTAAGAAGGGGTTTGGTGGTGATTTATGAGGCCGATAGGTGGACTTTTGCTGCAGGAAAGTGGCTGGACAGCCGAATCTGCTGCAGGAAAGTGGCGGTTGTTGGCTGGATGAAGGTTGTAAAGTGGGACAACAAGGTTATGCGGCTGGGGAAAGAATGGTTGGTGGCTGGGATGGGGAAAGGGGTGTCTGGTGGTTGCGTATAGGGGAGGAAAAGGGTTAGGGAAGGGAATGAGGAAGGATACAACTCCACCTTGGAGTATGATACAATCAGAGCACCACCACCTCCTCAGATGCAGCCATAGGAAAGGGAAGAATACTCGACACCTGAAATCTATAGCAATACACAACAAGAAGTAACCCTAACTCTCACTAACAAGCATATAAATGGACTCCAAAAAAGAAAGAACATAGAAGGAAGGAGAGGAAGGGTTGGCAGGATTGTCGCCCTTCCTAAAGTGCCGCTTGATCGAGCGGGATGTAGGGAAGGGAGGAAATCCTGCTCGCCTCATGATGCACACTAAATCGGTTGCTCAAGCCACTTGACCGACTCCCCTATGGAAATCAGCTGAACCGGCTGTTTCCCGCCTCTGTGTGGGAAATTCTCGCATCGGTCCCACACGAGGAAGCCCCCCGTCAGTCTCCGGGGATTGGGGGAGCTTCGACCTCATTCGTCGAGGCTTTTGGTTTCTCGTGGCATGGCGTCAAACCCTTCGGCATGTCAAACAAGCAGACATTGTCATTCCAAGGCATATTCAGATAAAATAGATATCTGTCCACCTTTGGTACGACTTCAGTTGGAGCTATAGAGATTCGAGTATTCCTACGAATAAGGTATCGCGCCATCCCTGTTGTAACCTGCCTCTTTCGCTCCTCGCACCTGGCTGGATGCAACTGATAAACTAGGATGTGAGGGGAAATCCACTATGGGTTGAAATTTGTGGCAAGCTGGGCCACTCTCACTAGCACCCCCTTATGAAAGACCGTCCCACAAATAGGTCCCGGATCCCATTGCAGAATTTTTGTCCCCATCAAGCTCCTCGGGCCCACTACAAAACCAGGGTTCATCTCTCCCGATTGGACATCTGACGGGGTGTCCCATGCTGATTTGAAAGTAACATCTGAATAACTCTATTTCATGTTATCGACAGGGTACGTAATAATCTCAATACTGTTATACCGAACCTCCCTCCTGCGGGGCAATTTCAGAGGGGGTATGTACATTTGAAAAATCTGCATCTCGCTTATCCGGAGTGAACCTGTATCTGATTTCAGCTCCTCAAACTCATAACCCTTGTAGACATTTAGGGTCATTCCTACTGATGTTCCTCTCACCATCTGCACTATGTTAGCTTGAGCACCATAATCTCAGGCTCTTCTAGATTGTTTATTACCTCATGGTTACTACCCTTTAAAGCACCGTCTGTTACCTTAGCTGGAATCTTTATCTTGGGGCCAATTGGATTTGGTGGCATCTTTCCCCCGTTCGCTGAAAAATGAGAATCATCGCTGAAGTCGGTATCTTCTTCCTGATTACCGTTCATATCTTTAACTGGAAGTGGGTTTTCCTTGTTTATGTCCTCACCGTCTTTAGTGGTTGCGTTATCTTTAGACGCTCTGCTCGGTGAAGTAGATCACTCCTTTGATTGTGTATTCTACCTCAACATGTCCAAATCCGTGTTGTGATAGATTTGCGAATTAATTTCTTTGGATAGTAGCTTGGGGGGCCGCTTACTGCTACGGTCTCTCCACATCGGAAGTTAGAGTGCAACTTTTGACGGTAGTAAATTAATAGGAATTGGTGCTATGTTTCTCGCTTCATCTTCATGTCTTATCGTTCTCCTTTCGACTCTCTCGATCATGATCGAGGAAAACCTTTAATTGAATTTCATCTTCAATGTTTGTAATCCACCGCTAAAGTCGGCGATCTCTCGTCGTATGTCCTTCCGGGTAGGCTCGGGCATGTATTTCATTAGTGACATGACTAAGGTTTAAGAACAGGAAAGAAAAATTGGTGGGGTTAGGGTTTGGGTTGTGGAATTGATATTTGGTAGTAGAAAAGAAAGTTTTGGTTTACGGCGGATACTAGGAAACTCTAGGATAGAACTAGGGTTGGACTAGCTTTGATACTAAATAATATAAGAGGAGAAAACCTAAATCACAGAAGAAACACAACTTTTTATTAATATAGAAATATGTTTACAACCTGACACCAACGGAAAGGGAAAGCATAATAACAAACCAATCTCCAGCTAGGGTCGAGGAGAAGGTTGGATGGTAGAGTGGCGCCGACAATGGGGTGAAGGTACGGGGAACGAGATGGTGGTTGCGAGGTCGGTTAATAAGGGTTTTGGCGGTGTTTTGGGAGGCCAGTAGGTGTGCTTTTGCTGCAGGAAAGTGGCTGGACAACCGAATCTGCAGCAGGAAAGTGGTGGCTGTTGGCGGGATGAAGGCCGGGAAGTGGGAAAACAAGGTTATGCACCTGGGGGAAGTATGGCTAAGGGCTAGAATGGGGAAAGGGGTGGCTGGGGGTTGCTAAGAGGGGAGGAGAAGGGTTAGGGAAGGGAATAAGGAAAAATATACAACTCCATCTCGGAGTAGCATACAATCAGAGCACCACCACATCCTCGATTACAACCATACGAAAGGGAAGAAGACTTCACACTGGAAATCTGAAAGCAATACACGACAAGAACTAACCCTAACTCTCACTAACAAGCATATAAATAAACTCCAAACAAGAAATAGCAGAGAAGGAAGGAGCGGAATGGTCGGCTGCATTGCCATCCTTCCTAAAGTGCCACTCGATCGAGCGAGACGCAGGAAAGGGAGGAAACCTCGCTTGCCTCATGATGCTCCCTGAATCGGGCCCCCCAAGCCACTAGACCGGCTCCCCTATGCCAACCTGCTGAGTCGGTCTGTTTCTCGTCTCTGTGTGGGAAATTCCCGCACTGTGTCCAACGCAGGGAAGCCCGCGTCAAAAAAACATTTATTCAATTTTAGACCCGTCATGAGTAATTTTTCCTTCTTGCTTAGTATAATAGTTATAAGAAAATTGAAAATCAAAATTTTTATCAAGTAATTTTCTCTTTAAGATGAGATTATTTAAGAATATATAATATATAATGACATCTTTCATTGTATGACTAATATCTCTAATAAATTTTATAGGTAATTGACTATTGTCATTGATCAGAATAAATAATGATTCATGATATGGTTGGATATTATGAATGAGACTAAATTATTAGTTATATGATTATAATCACCGTAATCCACAAAACAAGAAGAGCAGAGTAGTGTATGCGTACTTTGAGGCCCTAAAGTAGATGGAGCTTTAATTATCATATGTTGTACCATCCTAGGAGTATTTTTTTATTTGTCCATAGTTCCCAAATCAAAAGTTTAATAATTATTTGATATTTGTTTAGAATTTGATTATCAAATTCACAAACTTCTTTAACACTCTTTAATCACTTGCCTCAACTTTTATAATATTTACAAAATTTCTTTGCTCTTGTAATTGTTGCTGTTGTAACACTATGTCTATTGCATGCCTCTTTTAGTTTTCTTGTTAGATGCATATGCAACAACATTTTCACGTATTTGATGTTGAAATGTGGTTTGTGTTGCAAGTTGTTACTCCTCACGAAGTATTTGTCTAAAGCACACTCCGAAGGATGGAGAATGGTCACAATTCATTAAGTTGGAATGAATTGACTTAAATTCTAGACAAGCTGAATGGATTGTGGGAAGTTGAATCGACGAGCAGTCTGATATGGCTAAATGATGAGTTTCACTACTTGAATTATTTAGAAGTTTTATAGAGCCTTCTTGATAGAAGCGAATCTTTTATGGGTCAAGTTGAGAGAACATAGGCTTAGTGTCTTTACTTTGATATCATGAAAAATAAGGGAAAAAAAATTGATGCATGAATTGCCTGAGGTTTATTTTGGAGTTATATTTATGCGACCTTAGAATTATTTCTAAACAATTACTATATAAAATCAATTGCTATACAATTAATTATAATAAATTAGTGTATGCCCGGCTGGTTTCCATAAACACATGGATGGATATGGTGGTTAGCCATAATTTATAGAGGGTAGTTGTTATTAATTATGTTAATATCAACATAATTATCACTAAGCTGATAATTCTATATTTGTAACATTTGGTTTATATTATTCTGATATTAATTTTATCAACTCATATAATGATTGCATTTTATATACAACATTTCACATGTTCAAACCCCCTTAGCTCCATCTTAAATTTTTATATTTTTAATGTGTTACTCTAATATAATAATTCCTTAATTTATCCTTTATGATTTTGCCACTCATACATCTTAATATATTTTGGGCCTATATTGCCACTTGAAATTTGAAAGCACTTGAAATATGGTGAATCTAGTAGATTATATTGTTAGGCGATTTTGTTGGACGTATTTTGAAATTAATATTGAGTTAAAACTCCATGAAAATCTCTAGACTCCTTAAATAAGGTGATATAATTTTAGTACATGCAATGAGTAAAGGCGAATTATTATTTTTTTTAAACATGTTCTCTATTGGCAACTGAGTCCTTATAGAAAAGCAAAATTTTTCTGACATCGCCTTTGCCATGCGTTATTCAAGATGCTAGAAAGTGAGCAATGATGAAATCATTATTTTTTTAAAATCTGTTTTCTATTACCAAATCAATCCTTCTAGAAAACCCAAGTTTTCTTGGTGCTGATGAACTAGAAAGCATATCACAGCAGCAGGTAATATTGAGCTGCTGATTCTTTTGTAGGCTGGAACCCGGACTATAGAATTAGAACTGGCCATGTTAGCCAGTTCCCATCATGTGGAGCTGAATCCCAGCGACGCAGGCTTCCAAGACAGGTATATTGTTCAAGAAATCATCAAGGAAATGGCAAAAAATAGGCCCATTGATTCAAAAGGCAAAAAAGGATTTAAAGGTATGATCATTCCATCTAATAATTGCTCTTTATCTTCTCCTCGGTCTGAATGATACCCATTGCGTGCAACTTGAATGTTATAGTTCCCTTGCCTCAATGGCTATTAGTCTTCATGCAATATTTTGAAAGAGTTGGGAATATACGAATTTTGAAAATTATGAGTTTTTGTGAATTTCTCTTTTCAAGCTGATCAATTTTTGTGGGCAATTATGCATTTTAGTTAATTTACCTGCTACCCACGAATAATTTCATTTGAGGAATTGTATATATATGTCTGTGTGTGAAAAAAAATCCATGTTATGATAGGTAATTTATAGTATTAGAAGACTAGGATATTTATTACTTGTTTGATTGATTTTTGAAATTTTATGTCTATTATATAGACAACTGCAAGTTTTTTGAAGTACTGACAAAATTGCTAGTTTTTATTTTTCTTATTTTACATTTTTGAATGTTGTTTGATGGTGTATTTTTACATTTCCTTTATTTTTCTTCATTATATGTTTTTTCTAGGTAATGGCACACTCCTAGGTAATGGCACACTCGTTCGTTTTTTTTTTTTTGAATATTGTGATCTCATGAGTGGCACTTTGTGGTGCATTGCCATATGGTGTCTTTCCTTTATTTATTGAAAAGTTTCGGAGATCCTTTCTCATTGATTGAAAAAAAAAGTAATTGCAAAGTCACAGTATTAAAAAGAAATAGTAGGAATAAAGTAAAAAGGAAGAAGATCTAAAAAATTCTAATAAAATATCTAGAAAGTTTTTCTTTTCTAAAATATGAGACACCTTGTTTCCACTACTAGAGTTCATCCACCATAGAAATAGAAGAACCAACATTATTTTATAGAAGAAAACAAAGATCGTATCTGTTGACCTCATTTCTAGTGAGGTCTTAATTTTTTTCTCTTAGAGCCTAAGATCTAGCCTTAGGACTTTTCTATTTACTATCTTAGAAGTTTTTATGGCATAAAAACATGTTGTAGTCATTTTTTATATGTTTTCGGTAATTTAGAAGTTTAAATGGCTTTGTGGCTGCTTTTATGTAGGATCAACTCCAATTGGCATGCCTTTGAATTACTCTCATAGTTGATGTCCTCGCCAAAAGAAATTTTATTGTAGTTAGAGAGCTTGATTCTAGATGATTTGGGTTAATGCAAAAAGTGTAAGCCAGTCATGCACTATGAGTAAGGTTAACGTATATAATATATTATGATTTCAATTTTGCATCTAGTCCCATCCTTCATGAGTTTTGATCAAGAAAAGTCAAATAAGCAAATTAATTCAGCTCAAGTCCGCTCTTTCCTTGGGAATTTTCACATCTAACACTGTGCGCTTTAATCCCTTTGTGGATGTATCACTTTACCTATGATTAAAGGGCTGATTTATTAGTTTATTTTTGGGGCTTTATATGCCACTCGAGTGCTAATTCATTCACTGTTTTTAGGGGGATTTCGTGCTCATTTAAGTGCTGGTTTGTCCATCGTTTTGAGGCTGTTTTATACACTGTTTTGGAGTCATTAAACACTGTTTTTGGACTGTTTTAACACTGCTTTAGGGAATGGTTAAATGCAGATTTCGAGCCTCTAAATGCTGCTTTTGGGCTGTTTTATGCACTGTTCGGGGCACTTTTGTTGGTTGATTTGGGCTGGTTTATGTGCTGTTTTGGGGCACTTTTGTTGGCTGATTTGAGCTTGTTTATTTGTAGGCTGGCTTGGAGCAATTTATGCATTACTTTGGGTTGCTTTTGTTGGCTGATTTTGAGCACTGTAAATCACTGTTTTGGGGTGCTTTTGTTGGCTGGTTTAGAGCAATTTATGCACCGTTTTGGGGTGCTTTTGTTAGCTGATTTGAAGCAATATAATCACTGTTTTGGGGTGCTTCTGTTGGCTCATTTGGAGCAATTTATGCGCTGTTTTGGGGCTATGTAAGTGTTTATCGGGAGCACTTAAAAGTGTTTTTTGGAGCTTTTAAAAGTATTGATGCGGGGTTGACTTATTGGCTAGTTTTGAAAATTTCAAATACAATTTTTGGGACGATTTGCTCATTGTCTGGAGAAAGTCTTAACACTTTTTAGGCCAACCCACTTGCCATTCTACCCTCCGCTTCGCAGATTGTGGCAGTTGAGTCAGTCTTCTCTTTTCTCTTTAGTGTTTTCTTTTCTGTTAGGTCGATGATGAAAGTGCTTATGCGTGCTGAAAGTGGGAATTAGAATAGCGTCTTCTGCTTCGATGACCTTCGATGAAGGGAGACCAACACTGATGATTCTATTCACAAGCTCTTTGTGGGAGGATGCCTCTGACTTTCTTAGGTTGTCAGTAGCTCTAAGCCTTGTCGAGACGATTAAATAGTGGACCACTTGATCTTCAAAATATTTATATGTACGACATAAACGAGGAAAAATATTTTGCTCGCGAAATTATTATTTTCTATTGCTAAGTAAACCTTATATGCATGAAAAAATTAAAGAAACTTGGATAGGATACTATAAGAGTCCACTCGTTAATCGATTTGATTGCGGCAAGGAATTTCCCTCCTTAGACTTTCTGGCTGGTGGCCTCTACCCAAAGCACACAACCCAGCTCAGAGCCCCCTCGAGCCTGAATTTTTACAGCTCGCTTTGATCTTTCATATATAGGTCACCTGTTCTTGTACTTATATATACACACATGTTCGCTTTGCTAGTTAAATTCTCTGCAATAGTTGTTTATTTTTACCTGTGATACTGAAACTTTTTGTAGCAGCAGCAGATGCACCAGACAAGCAAATTTATTCTTACATTTACGGCATGTTACTGCACTTCTTTTTACCGCGCTCTTACTGTTATTTTACTTTTGCATTTACTTACAAAACTTGCAATTCCCTTAAGGTAGAGAACGGTAGGGCACCTGACTAGGAGGTACACTGCGACAAACCACTGACCAAACCATTGCATGTATGCCTTAAACCTTAAAACTGAAGTCGCTATGACAATAAACTCAGAACAAATTCGTGGGCAGCACGACGAGGACGCAAGCAAAGGACAAAGGACTCCTGTCGGCGAATCAAGACTTAACACAAAATAAGGTCTACTTCAACAAAACCATTCCTTATGTTTAATCAAACAACAATTCATAGTACTTCGAGATAGCTCACCCAGTGCGACATAAAACCTCACTCTATCTTTAGGCTCATGTGCAACTGTGTTGTGCATTATAAGTCTTAACTCACCTTAGGCTCTGAGGTTGTCGCTCGGTACGACGTAAACTTTTCTATCTCTGCGGGCAATTTGCATAATCAGATATTATGCAAGTGTAAGTCCTAAATAATAAAATTGACAGGATTGAACACTTAAATATCATCGTCTCTAAAATGCAACCATACAGTAGGATAATTTGGGAAGTCATCGAGGTTCTTCTCGGGATCTTTGACTTTCCCT